TGTTTACGTTCCAATCTTTAAAGATGATATATTTTTCATAAGAGTCAAAATTAATAAGAATTCTAAGATAATTAGCTATGCATATTAAACATAAAGTTTAATAATTCAAAAATTATTCATTCAAATATCGATACATACCTACATAAAAGCTTCCAAAAATTCTTCTAATTTAAGACTTATAGACAACGGTTACCTTTTGAATATTATACTTATCCAATAATTTAAAAACATGATCTTTATATACTCGACAGTTCAAAAATCCAAGAATATAATATCGTTAGTAAGCATTATTTTAAAAGTTAAAAGAGATTAAGTGCATATTTAGTGAAATAATCAGTGCATCATCATAGTACTATATGTAAAAATTCAAGATATAACTATTGTAAATCAAACATATAATTTCTTTATTTTAAACATTTATTACATTTATAATATTAGAGTAGCAAAGTAACAATACACAGTGTGTGGGTACAGTGACGAAAACTGCAAACGTGTGCCGTTAAATGTTTTATCAATTTAATTGAAAATGTTTAAATAATAGTACTTATTTAAAATCAAACACTAGACGCCTTGTAATTTTCTACAATCACAGACTTCACACTAATAAACGTGTAAGCATTAGGGGTTAATGTTTAATGTGCTTGCTACAAGTTTTCGTAATGAGATGCAGCCACGTACTTTGTAATATGGTTTGAAGAAGAACATCGTGCTTATTGACTAAAAAATATTATTATCGAATTTATAGTAATATCTATCAATGATATTCAACTAAAAACAATAATATAAAATCAAATGGAATGGGGTATGTTTTTTGTGTGCATTAGTTGAGAGAGGATGCAAGTAATATTTTTTTTTAAACAGCATCTGTAGGATCAATTTGATTAATTATAGTAGGTACTAAAGTCGGAGAATATTTTTAATATTGTACTCGTATAGTTGTTTATGCATTGTGAGTTATATTTTAATAGCATTTGACGACTCGTTAGCCTTCAGTGCCATTTTTTTACACAAACGATGATTTACATATTGATCAAGTACACTTAAAATTGTACCTACGCTAAGAGTAATGTATGTGATATGAAAATCCTAAATAATTTACGTTATTTTTAAATCCATTTCATAACAGTCTTAACACTTGAATTGATGTTAATAATAATAATTATTGTAAGCATTTAATCATATACTATATCTAAAATATTATTATTGAATATCAGTTTATCCGTTATCGTTAATTATAATTGTGATTTAATTTTGTACATTTTAAATTAATCTAATAAACATTTATTTATTTACATCGTCACAGACGTTTGAGATTATTATTATAAATTTATAAAATTGTAAATAAAAACTACGTAATTATTAATTTGATAAACTCAAATAGGTCTTAACCTTATATATATTAAATTAATTGTATTTTAATATACTAATAGATCACATTGATACTATAAATATAATTTATTATTAATTGATCCCGTTTGTCAAACAAATTAATATAAGGTCGTTAAACATATTTTAAATAAAACATTACGTAATTACTAAAAGTTAAGTACTTTTCGTAAGTATTAATTTTAAGTTGCCATCAAAATGTAAAAATTATGAAGTAAACAACTGTTTGTGGAAATTTAATTTTCAAAGACAAAATAAAATCAAAGTATGACGATTAAGCCATTAATTTTATTTAGAGTGAAAATAATATAAAAAAAAAAATAATTTGGTCAATTTTGGTTTTACTTTCAAAAAAGTTCTTCAAATATGGCTTATTAGTTTTGTATTTAATGGATATTTTTGAGGAAAGGTCTGTGTATCTGTTAATCGACATGTCTATTGTAAAGGTCAGCTGATGTCCAGTCTCAAAAATAAATTATATTGTATAATATGACATTTAAATATAAAATATTGTTTTCTAAGAACTTTTTTAAATGTTTTAAATTTTTAATGAAGCGATTATTTTTTTTAGTTTTAAATGATCTGCGCTTTATTTTTTTATTTTATTTGTTTATTATTGTGTTTATTGTCATTTTTTGGAGTATTAATAATTGTAAAACATTTCTATCTTAAGCATTAAGGATGGTTTTTGGAAAGAAATTGGACATAGTTGATATATTAACGCAGCTAAAACCATAAAATTTCTTATTAAAACCCATTGTTACTCGCATTGTTTCCATTGTCACTTTTACTGGCATAGGTTATAAATTTTTTAGTTATTTTTCGTAAACTATTAAATTTATTAAAACCAATCTAGATATAAATAACTGATTAACAAATTTTATTTAGACCATTATCATAAAATAAAATTACATTATGAAAAAATTATCAAAAACTATTATGAACAAAACATTAAATACAAATATAATTTATTGTTATATTATTATTTCGCCTATGGAGCGGTAGAAATCTAGACACACTTCAATTGAATGATCATGGCATATTAATTTAACTCATATCGTGCAAACTTTTATTGTTTTGTGATCATGATTTTTTTCGCAAAAAGAACATTAGCTCTTTACTCTTCCATTTTCATGATTTCTTATACATCGAAATAATGTTTATTATTGTTTTGAATTGTATGCAAATGTTTAGAATTGTAGCACGAATTTTTACGTGCTCTTGCATCAGTTCTTTATCCAATGATTTTAGAAATTTGAGGTGAGTTATTTTGTTATTTATATTTTCTTGATATATTATTTGTGCATTTATTCTACCAATGTTCATTAATGCATAGAATATAGTCAATGGCCAACGTTAGCTTGTTCTTAGAACACTGTAGTTATCTGACATGTAGTCCATGGTGTCCACACCTCCTTTCATATAATTATATGCTGTTTCATTTTTTTAATTGTTTGGTCAATATTTTTGCCACTATTTCGGCTATATTTGTTGGTTTAGCGACTCTTCTCTTTCAAATTTTGGTCAAATATTTTGAAATTAAATAACAAGAAAAAAAACTGAGAATGAATTACTCTCACAGAGTAAATTATTTCCAAACACTAATGCCGATCACTTTATGCACTCCTAGAAGTTAAACAAAAAACCTAGATAACACGGAACCAATTAAATTTTATCTACAAATCCATTATTGGAGACTATAGAAATTTACCAATATTTTTTTCAAGATAACATTCATAAATTTATAAATAAAAATAAGCTGGGACATTATTTACTCCGTACGAGTAACAACGAAACTAACGAAAAAATAACAAATAAATGAAGTAATACAACACTGATTTTCTACAAAATTGATTTTTTCTTTTTTAATTAAAAAAAATTAAAAAAAAATTGCAATGGCTAAAAATGTTCTGTAAATATTTATATTACTGTTTTTAAGGCATTTTAAATATTCGGTTTTTTTTTCCATTTGTGACATAAACAAAATAAAACTTTATACTTAATACTATAATTTTCAATTAATTGTTTTGATAAAGATATTTTCATGTTTTGAAATAAAATATTTAAAGTTGAATTTTGTAATGCTATAAGGATTGTAAATTAGAATTATTTAATACCTTTCTATCACGGCGCTTACTATTGACAATTTTACTACATGCATGTCGATATTTAATAATTGCTATTTTAAAAAACGTTCATATTATAAAAAAATACAATGCACGTTTAGACACCAAAATATATTAAAAACCAATTATCTGGTTAGGCAAAAATTAGAAATTTTTCTAGAAACTCCGAAAATATTAATTAATTTATATTTTATATTTATAGCTTACTTAATAATTAATGATTTTTGGTTTGTGCTAATGATACATTTATTTTTTATTTTTCATAAGATTTAGGAGTACATTTGATACATAACTTAATACGTTTGTGATTTGTGACTTATGTTTTGTTTATTTTGTAAAACATAAAACTATATGAATCTTAAAACTTTAATTTAATTATTTATTTGCATTCTTTATTTTTCTATTTATTTTCTTTTTCTCTATCACACGTGTTTTAAATAAGTGGTTATTAAATGTGAACCATACAAATATAGTGCTAATTTCCTTAGGAATCAATATTTTAATTTCCAAGCCAATAATATATATATATAAATATTAAATATATATATGTATGTGTGTGTGTGTGTGTGTGTGTGTGTGTGTGTGTGTGTAATTACAATATTTTTCAATGAAAAACACAGAACGATTTGACATAGTTTTTATGATAATTTATTATAACACAATTTTTATTATTATTGATGAATAATGTAAATTTTATTTTATTATATTTATTATGAAAACACTATACGTGATAATACATTTTAGATTTAAGTTGATATACTTGATAAACCATATGGGTCTGTAAGTTTTGTATGATTTTAGCATCGATAGCATTTTAGATCTTATCAAACCTAAAGTCATAATTTATATTTTTACGATTACTATGTATTATTTTCTTTATAATAATATAAATTAATTAATTTTTCAAATTTCTTTGAATTATTTTTTAAATATTTTAAAAATTATTAAAATTGTAAACAATATTAAATTAAATTTATCTCTCAAGTTTTTCTACATTAAAATATTATGTTCTTTCTTCAAAGTTTCAGAAAAAATTATTTCGTCCTTATTTTTGTATAATTATATTGATAATGTATTATTATATTTTGAAAAAACGTAAATATTATTATAATACATACTTTTTTAAAAATATGATTATAACGTAGAAAACAATAATATCTTATCTTTAGTCTAAGTACGTATATTTGTTTCATATTATTTACTTATTGTATTTTGTAACAAATTTTTAATTTCAATAGAAATGTTAACGTGCGTCGTATGAAAGTGATTTTTTTCATAATATTTACTAACATTATAAAACATATTTTATATAAAAATTATATAATTTATTACTTCATGATGACCACTGAAGTGTAATAAATAGTCATCATTTCGTACACCATTGATCTAATAAATATTTTGAATTAAAGTTTTGATAAAAATATTTACTTCAAAATCATATGATGTTATTTAAATTCAAAAATTGAATTAATGTTTTTTGTATTACAGGAAATGAAACTAAACTGGGTATCTTCTCCGGGACCTCAACTGAAAGCCGACACAAGTAGTAAGTACACGATACCAATATTGTACTCACAAAAAATTAATTTGTAGTTACACGATGAAGTATGATTATTATATACGTTTATTATATATGCGTAACAAATCAGTAAGAGAATATTAATATCATATAACGGTCGGAATAATATCTTAGATACATGACAACATGACGTATATACGCATACACAATTACGACTCAAATAAAGTCTTGGTTTTTGTTTTTCTATCTCTTTGTGAGTTTTACGACAGCCTCTCTTTATTATTCAACTTCTTATAACAGTCTCATCATAAACATTATTATCAACGTCTTGACTCATACATATTTTGGTAAAAATTATATTATTCAATTTGGCCAATATATTATTATATACAAAAATATTTTCGTAACGACGTATTCATATATTTCGTGGTATGTATATATATATATATATATATCAGAATTTTCATGGTCGGAGGAGACGTACACCGTCAACCTGCAATTTCTATAAGAATACCATGGTAATATTAAGAAATTAAATTTAAAGAGGGAAAAAATATCGTTTTTTTTTTCATATATATAATATCGAAGCTTCGTAACATTGTAAATAATAATAATAATAATAAATTGTAAACAATATGATTCGGTGAATTCAGTCTCTGCCGCTACCGTCATCGATGATAGTAATATGCGCGTGGCAATGAGCAAGAAGTGCGACGACGACGTACCTAAGCCCGTTCGTTAACCAGCTCGTCGGGTTTTCTACGTGCCAGACATATTTTTCACGGTCTGTGACGCAAATGTTCGAGGATACGCATCATCGATGACATCGGTAGCACACCGAATACATGATATAAAATTATCTCCGTTATTATCGTTATCAAAGTTGTTGTTCTCATCCGCATTGTAATGATTAGTTCTACTACACACGGATATTATTGCATTGCTAAGCGTACATTTCGTCTTTTGTCGTAGATTATAATATTATTTAGTTATCATATGTTAAGTTGAAATTGATGTTTGTGATTTTAAGAATTATCATGAATTATAATTAAATGCATTTTGGTCGTGTTAATCGATATTAACAATCATTTAAGACACAAAACTTGAAAAACATCGAATAGACAAAACATGTGTGAAGAAAATAATAGATATTTTGGAGTTTCTTGTTTATCGTGGCTGCGCGTATGACATTATCGACGAATTTGATTTTTTTTTTTTGTTCCTCCCTTAATGCGATACGGAGAGACTTACGAACAAACGTGCTTATTTGGGTCTTAACAAATTCAATATTCTCGCAAAGACTTTAAAAAATATTCCAACTAACTTTTTTATCCACTGCTAGACGACCATTACGAATATCAGCCAATAAAATCAAACATCGATCTGATAGTCATATAAGAGATGTACAAAGTTAAAGGGTATAGATATAAATATAATGGTTATAGTAGAGGGAAAAGTCAGTTAAAGAATTTTTGACTACACAACTACTATGTAAAATATCACACTCTAAAGCTGACCTTCGTTTAAAAGGTCATCGCCGTGCGTGTTCAGTTGAATTTTTTTCACACAATATATAATTTTGTAAAAAAAAAAAAAAAAACTTTATACTTATTAATATGGAGACACTATAACGTAAAATAACACGAAACGGGAGTATGCTATACACAATGTAATACATATTATATTATTATGTTAACCTACATTATATATGCCAATCATATTTTTGAAACTTTAATGTAGGGCAATTTAGACAAAAACGAGGATATAACTAACATTTTGTAAAAAAAAAATTAAATTAAATTCAGAATTTTTTTCAATCACTCTATATACTTTAAGTTAATGTATTAGATACAATTTTATATATTACATGCATATATTTTTATTTTATCCTTAGATATTATCATATCATATTGAAAATAATATAATTTTAGTCATTTTTACGGCTTGTTAAATGGAATATCTATTTTCAATTACATACAAATATTGATTAAGATGCGTTAAAACTTTTTTTATTGTACTAACTTGAAAATCGTTGTTCCACAAGAAATTAACAAATTACTAGTAAATTTCGATTCATTATAGGTTTATACTAAAAATGTTTTGGAAAAGCTTATAAAACTGCATTCAATTAAATCACTGAATCCACAAGGAATTATACGTATATAATGCGTCATAAACTATGGAATAGTAAGTATTATAGGTTCAATCATGTGATGGAGACACCTATTCTATAGACTACAATATAAAAGTTGAAAAAACGTGATAAGATATGAATGTTAATAAAAAATAAAATAATATTAGTACAATTTTTTGAAAAAAACAAAAGTTAAGCAAAAGTTGATGAATATGAATAGCTTTTACAAAATTAAGTATGAGTTAATTGTATTACTATGATAATAGTAATAATAGTTAAACGTATGTTTATTTTTTTTAAATATCTTTATTCTATTTATGTATAAAATCATCCAATAATTATAATGTCAATAATATAAATTTTAAAATCATTATTAATTTATAATAATAAATAATACATTTTAATATTTTATTTTTAATATTGTTTTTCTATTTACTAACATGAATCAGCTCAGTTCGCTTCCTTGGTTAGAGTCATTATATAATTATCGTTGAAGTTTAAACTTGATGTTTATATTATACGATTCCATACTAAATTATAGTGATTATATGCCCTACAACTAAGTGAAACATAATATTATATGCACACAAATTGTTCATATTATACTTTAATTTGTGATTTAAAAAAAACTCACGTATAGTTTGAGTAAGTATAATACACATTTGTATTTACTGTGACTATTGGAAGCATCTTAGATGTCAAGACTAGAACGTAATATTTCTACTCAATTACATTGTTTAGTCGATAAACAATTATAATATAATCGACTACAATATTATTATCGATATTCAAAGAAATATTTGCTTTGTACTCTCCAGAGTAGACACTTTTGGCAAGTATTGACGTCATTGTTTATCGCTGAAGCCTTACCTCGTTTTATAAAAATAAAATTTTAAATTCTGAAAAAGTTGATTTATTATTAACTAAACTGAGGGTATACATACTTAATTGAATATAGAAAGGATGAGTACGGGTACCTACCTGTTATTTGCAATCGATTTTATTCTTGTATAATTTGTTATTTTGACGATGTACATATTGATATGTATAATTAATAATCAATCATTATTGTTACATTACGGAACACTAAACTACAAAAACCGAATGAAACAAAAATAATTCATGTTTAGAAACATAAAAAAAAAAATTTGCAATTTTTTTTTTATACAACATTTACATTATTATTTGACATATGGGAATGTTCACTTTGTATAATCATAAATGTACAACATATATGAGTCTCAAATTTGAGAATTATTTTTTAAACATAGACATATCATTAAAATATATAAAAACAGAATTCTTATTAAAATAAATTTAATACAAGAGATAGATTATGTACAAGATAATATTTTTATCAAACATAATCAATATTTCATAATTAAATATAATTATAAAAATATAATTTCCAGTCTAAAATATTTTTTTTTTATATTTTTTAATATTTTTATCGTTATAATTTATTTAACCTTTTACTTTTTGAATGATAAAATACATAAAATATTTTTTGGAGAATTTCGATTCATTTTTAATTCCGATGAGTTATTAATGAGGTACTTATGCGTATTTAAAATTTAGATTATCAAAGTGAAGTGGTACAGCAATTCTCTGCAATATGCTGGTCTAATTGTTCACTTCCCTAAATTTTAAAAATAAATCCTGTTTTATTTCGAATAGAAAGGATGTGAAAAAAAATATTTTTCAAAAACGTTAATTTATTTTTAAACAATAAATGTTGTTTTATAAAATAATCCCTTAATAAATTATTTATTTTAAAGCCATTTTAATATTATATTAAAATTAAATTAAATTTTTTTTTATAATATATATATTTTTTTTTAAATATATATTATTATAGTATAATTGTGTATTTAACTGTGTATGCTAAAATATAATTTAGTCTTTTAAAAAAGTCACAACAAAATTTATATTTCTTAATATGGATTATATAAATGCATGTATATAACATTTAATTTAATTAAAAAATGCAATCAATATGATACAGAAAACTTAAAATTGAGATTTTGTAATATTTATTTTAATTTATAACTGTTAATGAAACTGAGATGTATTAAAATCATGATTTATAGCTATTTATATATATATATACATTATTCAGTGTCTACAATACTGAATCGGTAAATAATATATTCCATGTATTTTCTCTTATTCTCATAACTTCTTTTTTATGCTTAACTTGTCGAGTAAAACTATGACATGAAAACATTGTTGATATAATATTTATAACGGGTATCACCTTTGTAGCATATTTTATTTGTTTCTCCTTGAGTATACATTTTTCTTGAAATAGATATTATGTTCAGTGAATTTGTGATTTTATTTTATATATAATTCATATTATTCTCATGTAAACGTTACATTACTTATAAATATTTGTTGTGCATATATAAATTAACAAATAACTTAATGATGTATAATAAATGAACACAGAAAAGTAAAAGACTACAGTTGTTTTATGTAACTTAATTGCTAAATACATGATAACTGAAAAAAATACATTTTAACAGATTTTGATTTTTACTATAATGTAATTGTATTATAAAAATAATAAAGTATTTATTTGCCAACATAAATATTGAATATATTTTTAATGTATACATAGTATAATATATACAATTTTTCAATAAATTAGTATTATGTAGATATAGTTCTCTTTGTAGTAAATGCAATTTAAACAATGCGATTGAAAACGACTTTTTGAATACTTAATTTATTTGCTCGACTCAAATTGGTATGTACCTAGAATATTTTCTTCAACGTATAGCAAATGTAATGTAGTGAAATCCTTTTTGAATGATTCTAAGTATTAGAATTCTCTTAAATCGAAAACTAGTTTGTAAGATATTATAAGTGAATCAAACAATGGAAAACA